AAGCTTGTCTAGGGATCATTGAGAAGCAATGACGTGAAGACCTTCAGTATTCTCTCCTTGTGCACCAGGGTGTTGGGTTTACAGTCTTTTACTACAGACCTACATAAGTAGGAAACATGCTTGCATTTTTGCAAGTTTTCTATTTAAAATTTGTCTCTGGAGAGACAATGGTCTAATTCTCTCCCTACTCCATGACCCAAAAAATACCAGATAAGAGCTGTAATTGGTCTAGACTTAGTAATAACTATAGTCAGACCATAGGGTTTATGTAAAAATACAGCACTTTTCACTCTAGAAGTATGTACTCTAGAAGACGTACACCTAAAGTAAGATTGAGAAGCAGAGAAGAGGAATATTTCCTAAAAGAAGGAACATTCATTTCCCCAGATGAAATGGGGATTTTGGCACTTAAATAGCAGACAACAAACACATTCCAAAACAAATTTGTTCAAAAAAATCAGGGTTTTTATTGAAAAAATACAGAGCTATCTTAAACACTACACAAGGTAGAGGCTGGGCGGGGTGGCTCACATCTGTAATCCCAGCACTTTGGGAGGCCGAGGCAGGCAGATCACCTGAGGTCGGGAGTTCAAGACCAGTCTGACTAACGTAAAGATTCCCTGTCACATCAAAAATAGAAAATTAGCCAGGTGTGGTGGTACATGCTTATAATCCCAGCTACTTGGGAGGCTGAGGTGGGAGAATCACTTGAACCCCAGAGGCAGAGGCTGCAGTGAACAGAGACTGCACTCCAACCTGGGCAACAAGTGTAAAACTCCATCTCAAAAAAATAAAAAATAAATAAAAACAAACAAACAAACAAACAAACAAAAAACCAAAACAACAACAAAAACCACTACACAGGGTAGAGCATCCAGATGTCACATAAGACTTGAATAATCAATAAGAAGGCCACTAGGACACATTCTGTCTAATTCTTGTTTATTTATTTTTTTCTTTCTATTTTAATTATTTTCCACTTCTGCAGACTTCTCTTCTGAGTTTGTCTGGTCCAGGTAATCACAGGTATACAGTAGGACAATGCGTAGTTGCTGGAGGCACAGCTCACAGACAGCATGACTAAGAATAAGGGACCTTTTGGGGAAAGTTTAGGGAGTAGAGTACAATGTTTTGAGAAAATGTGTATATTATATTCCAATACTTTAAAATAAAAATAATATTACTACCTGTTTTATTTATTTCAGGCCCCAGGAGAAAGTGGATATTTTAATCTCCTATTACTTGCTTTCCTAAATTAACTGTGCCCTAGAGTCTTAAAAAAAACATGTAACTTAGTCATATTGATCCACAGTACTACACTGATCCACAGATCACTGAAGAATAAAATCTGAATGATCACATCCTATGAATTCCATTAAGCGAGGGTTCCATAACACACCAACAACATAATTTATTTAAAGCTAATTGCCTAAAGGTTTATCCTAAAGATAACATTTGTCATGTACACCTATAGAATATAATGAATTTGTAGCATGAACAGTTTGTCTCTTTGACTTAATACTGACAAACGTTCAATTTGAAATTTGAAGAGGTAATGGTGGTTGTTACCAGGAAATGAAAAGCTTCAAAGCTTTACATTTTCTTGGCATAATCTCTACAACAGCATCTGTTCTTGTCTCTCTTTTTTTTATTATTATTCTTGAGTAATACTAGGAAGTTTCTAGACCAGATGAACTTCCTGTGACCTATTTAGTAGACTCAAACAATTAGCAAATGGTTATTTAATCACTCCTAAGGGTAGATTTATGTGAGACAAGTAGAATATCATGAACTTTTGATTTATTTTATATAACCTTCCATATACAATTTTTCTTACAATGCCTGGCACATAGTCTGTGAGAGGAGATAATGGGTTGAAGTAAATCTCTGCTACAGGCTATAGAGACAGTGTACTGTTATTCTCCATTGTCCCTGGTTCCATTCACCAGGCAGTTTTCACCTCTGGACTACAGACTGTTTGCTGGATTACTAGGAGCAATTAATATAAATGGTGGGCATATCTTAAGAGTGGGTGATCATATAGAGAAGATGAAGAACAGAAATGGAATATATAGAGAAGATGAAGAACGGAAATGGAAATCTGAAGTATACCTGACTGTAATGTGTGGAAGAAGGGCCCCTCAAGGAGTTTAAGAGTTAATCCTATAGGTAGCAAAAAAACTAAGAGGAAATGAGACCAAGAGCAAGTCATAGAACTTAAGAGGTAATATCACGAAGGGAAGGAATAGCAGCTTTAAATGGCACAGAGAGGATACTGAAAGCATCTATTGAAGTTGTCAAGTTAGAAATCAACAGTGACATTACTGAGAGCAGTTTCAGTGGAGTGGTGAGGAAAGAAACCAGAACACGGCAAGTTTAAGATAAACAGAAGATAGAAAATAGAAGGTAGAAAAGTTTAGAAAATGAGCATAAACTACCCTTTTTAAAAGCTCGTATGTGGAAAAGATAAGTTTAAGCAGTAATTTTGCATACTTTTGATATGAATCAGAAATTCTATAAGCTTAAGAAAAATTTGATAGTAAAAGTCACCAATGACCTGATTAAGATTTCATACAACTATTCCCAGGCACTCAAAAAGTCAATTGCTACTCCTCAGCTTTTATTTTTTTAAGAAAACCTTTTCTTAGTCATTTCTAAATTACCTACCTGAAAGTCAACCCAAAGGGAAGAAAATGAAATTATGTATCTGAACTTTCACTCAATTTTCTACCAGTCATGAATAGAGATTTAATATTTTTCCCCACATTCCCTAAGTAGAAGACAAATTATTGGTAGTCTGCATTTAATTCATATGGATTAAAGCAAAATAATCTGTTATTAACTGGTTCTGTCATTGCTTTCTTAATAGGAATGTTGATGTGTATTATCAAAATGAAAGAAAGTTATAGGCAGAAACCTATATTATTCTGTTGATGTTTCAGAACATTTAGCATTATCCCCTTAGGCTGTTTTATCCTTCTCTGAAATAGTCATACTTTCTATGAGCCCCTCTCTTCTGAGGTCCCATCCACAAGTTCATGTGAAGAAGGATTTGATAACCTGATTCATACTTACAAATTATGAAGAAAGCAGCCTCACCTGTTACCTCTCCTTAGATGGCTGTATATCTGTGACCTAAAGCTAG